TGTAATCAGCGCTTGCTGTAGAAACGCTTTATAGATAAAGAGAGAGGAAGACATCATCCTTCGTCTTTGCAAACAAAGATGTAAATCTGAAGCATAAAAAGTAGACATCCAAACAAATTAGACAAAATTATGATTGACACACATGGGAATACATGCATGAATGGGATGGCATGTTCATTTGATTAGTAGACTGCTTTAGAGATGGCCAAAAGAAATGCTGCAGACAGCTTCCCTTGTAACAGGGGTATACTCATTCAGATGTCTGCATGACAGCCATGTCTCATTAATATGAATGACTTTATTCCCCAGAAAAACTGCCCATAATGCAAGTCACCCATAACAATGGAACAAAGTTAAAACTACAAAAAGGGTACACTAAACCCTTTTGCACCTTACCTCTCCAAAAAGCGTAAAATGTCCCCAATACGCAAGGCTTATAGCTTTTACACCTGCCACAATCATTGCCTGTCTCGGGTCCATATCACATGAGCGAATGGCGTTTTAGCGAACAGCGACGTTTGAGCGAATCGACGTTTTAGCGAATAACGGGGGCGCGTGTTAACCCATCCGCCGCGCTGCGCTTACGCCGCTTCGCGGCGACAGTCTTCGGCGGCCCATTACAAAAATGTGAACCCATTTGGCCCACCCGAAAACGCCGCTTGGCGGCGTCCGACTATTCGCTAAAGTGTCATTCGGCGAAACGTGGGCGTTCGCTAAAACGTCATTCGATCAAGTGAGTGCTTCCCGCCTGTCTCCAGGTTACAACTAACATAGTAGTCTTCCTACTAAATGACCAGGACAGGCATCCTGCCTTGACTTTTATACGAGGGGCACACATCACCAGCGAGCTTTGTACAGGTTCGCCATCCACGAGAGCAAACAAACAGGAGAGGAGAGGAATGTGACCCGTTTAGTTTGGAAGTCCTGAAAAACTAATACCCGTGCCACACGGGCAACTCGAATGCCATTTACAACGAATGACATTCGTGTGATCAACGAATCGGCTCGCGATCTGTCGCGCGTGGAACGCCCCAAGTTCGGAGTGTCGCGCGCTGATTGGTCGATCGTTCAAATGTCATTCGTTGTAAATGGCATTCGAGTTGCCCGTGTGGCACGGTATTAACCTTTCTTCAATGCACCCGTCATCTCCCTCTCGTAAGAAGGGCATCGAGCAAGAAAAAAAGATATGAAACCCTTGGGTCACAAAGGGCCCCGAGGGCTTCATTGTTTATTCTTTTTGCTCTTTGTCGACTTTCACCAGGAAAATCCTGCCTCAAATAATCCTACAAAGATGCACACATTCTAACATTTTTCATATTAACAGGGCAAAATTCTATAAGAAAGGTTGGTTCCTAAAAATTTGGTTTACACTGCAGTGTTCATATTAATGAGACATGATGGCAATAAAAATAAACTCACGTTTGTACTTTATTACTTGATAAATCTCGGATGGAAAAGGTCACCTGAACATCAGAATTGGCCCTCGAGTATCCTCAGGAAACATTTTTACAAAAAGAAAAAAAGATGGTAGGTGAGCTGATTTTGGGTTGTGTGCCTGTGTTCTGCCATTGGCAGCTGTCCTGTGTCATGTATGGCTGTCCTATCTCAGATGCACCTGTTCTACATCATATGTGCTTGTTGTATCTTATGTGCGTGTCCTTAGCCACACATCTCTGTGCTGTCCATCCTTTTCAGTAAAAGAGTTTTCCATCATATGGCAGACATTCCTTGCATACTATAGCTTAGATGGCTTAGAAAGATCGCCCTATAACAGGATCTTCAGAGAACTCTTTCTGTCAAGATTGTGCGTTTTTAACAAAGGTGAAATAAGAGATGCAATGTGCAAATGCCATAAGAACAGAAGCGAGGAAAAAAAAGGCCACAAAAACCAGCATTCCCCCCCCCCCCCCCCCCCTTTTTTTCCCACCTACTAAAAAAAGATTATATTTATTTATTTTACAGCAGAACCTCGTTGATGTGTTCTCAGTTTTTAAGTTTTCCCAGCTCTCGCGTTCCCGAGCATCAGTCGCACTATACTTCAACAGTAATAGCAAAGCAGCAAATAAACTTCCTAGGAGATTGACCTCTTTGTGACTGTCAATAAACAACTATTTTCTCTCTCGCTTTCCCCCTTGCTGTGTTTGCCTCCCCCGGTCTTACACTCCAAAACTGCCGCCCGGCCGTGGCCGTCCTCTCTCTTTTTGCTTCACTCTCTCCCTCTTTGCCTATCTGCAACATACTCTCTGCCCCGCAGGACACGACCTTGGAATAAGCTGGCTAGAAAGGGATTCAATCTCTGCAACTGCCCGTTCGTCTTTCCCCCTCTTTTTCTCCGACGCTCGGGAGCTCTTTTTTCGCTCTCGGTTCCTCTGGTTCGGCCGTTTCATTTTGCATGCAGTTCGGAGCCTGTAATAGGCCCTCTTCGAGACCGCATCAAGCAACACTGGCGGTCGCCATTGCTTAAAGAGGTACTCCACCGATTTTTTGAGCTACCTCAACTAACTATATTTTCTGACTCCCCGGCCTTTAGCCTTTCCGGTATGCTATTTAGCATCGCGAAATTCATAATAGGTATTGTGAAATCGGCAAATGAAAATGGTGCAAAAACCAATATTCAAATATTCGCGCACTTTTCAGTGCCGTGACGTCAGTGGCAGGCAGGCTTGCCAGTCGAGCAAGTAGTCTAAAAATAGAATATGCCAATCATTTGTTCCGTGCTGGAGTGCGGATACGGGAGCGAGCTTCCAAAGCACTCATTTGACACCAAGAAACTGCTTCAAATCCGTTGGGAACTACTTCTGTAGTCCAAAAAGTTAACCCCTGCCAACGTTGACCCCTGCCTTCCGCTGACGTCACTTTGTTGTTGTTGCCAGTAGAGACTTTCATTTTGAAAAACATGGTGAAGACCAAAACTGTAAATTCAATAACTTTGCGAAAAAACAATATTTTGACCTAATATTTGGGATACTATTTTAGTAATGTTTGTTGGTTGGTTTAGCGAAATTTCCAGCAAATCGGAGACAATGAAAAAACCGGTGGAGTACCCCTTTAAGCATGAAGCGTGCGTCTGGACCAGAGTCCTCGCCGAATGCTGACGCAGCACTCGTTTTCGGTACGAGCTGAGCCGAGCTCACGCCGGACGTCGATGTGGTTCTCATGTCCAATATGTGCCCAAACAATGGTAGACTCGGATGATAGACGTAGCAGCTACTAGATAACGTACACTTTTGAAAAGGGTCCGCTGTGGATCGAGCACGGCGGCTCGACTCGGTACTAGCACACATACGTCGAGCTTTGCCGATCGGCACCGGCGCACTTAGAGCGGCAGTTGTGGCGAGAACAAGCTGGGCTGGCTCAATGGGCTCCGAAATCTTACGCAATCTTATACGTTGATGTTCTCTGGTTACAATTATGGACGGAAACCCCAAGTTTAAAGAACAGTTCCAAAAAAGAAAAGAAAAAACTTTCAGCCTTTCCACTCTGGTGAAGAAGGAAGACTAGCGAAGCTGTACTATGGTGGGAATGAAGTAATGGCCGGCCGCAAGTCGGCAAGCAAGAGTGGAAAGGCTGGAGAGGTTGCCGCCATCTATGAGCGACGGCGGTAGCAGTGCAGAGTTTTGTGTCATCATGTGTTTGCTGACGGACACAATACTGGAAAAATTAGCCCTTAACAGCTCCGCTGTAAAAGTCGGCCTCAATTTGAGTAAATGTGTTAGTCCACAGCCGGGAAAGTCCGTGTAAAATAAGATGCTGTCCTGCAGCAGTTGTTCCCTTGTCCCCAAAAAAACATTGTCCGTCGTTAGGGCTTCCACGATTATGCATTGTACCGCCGTCCCCTGAAAGACTCATCAACGAGGTTCTACTGCATTTTTGAATTTTGCTGTACAGCTGTAACATACTACTGAACACCAGAACATGTGGCACTAAGCCAGAGTTTTCTTCGTTAGGATATATATTAACAGTAATAACAATATACAAAGGTAGGTCTTATGCTTCCCACATCTTACAGTACGATGTAAACAATGGACTGTTTTCTTTTTTTTTCTGAGCGTGAACCCTTATCATGAATACGCCGAAAACAGTGTACCGGCCAGACATCCACAAAAACAATGCCTCGTTCCAGAGTAAAATTTGTGGCTTCATGGCACTTGCTTCAAGTGTAAGCCAGGACTAGCACTACTGCAAAGATTACTGAAATGAAAATCACCCATGACAGCTCGAATGAATGTTTCTGTGCTTACCGTAAAAATCTGTACGAACGCTCACCCTTGAGAGACCACCCATCCCGGTTTTTGGGCTGAATATCCGTAAAACAAGAAATTCCGAAACATGACCCACCCCCCGTTTCCCACCGAATGTCGATCACACGATGTCCAGCGGGAATTGCATCAACCGCACGATCTCCGGTACCGGTATGCGTGACAAGCGTGTTCGCTGTGGGTACCGTTCTGTTCATCACACCGTGAAAAGCAAATGTGCTGCATCCGCGATATCCATTCCTGTGACGTGCAAATACAAAACTTGTTCCCACCTTTTTTTCTTTTTTTTTTGTTTTGTTTATGTGATGTGCACGCACTTTATTGATTCCTGTGATACGCAAGTTTGTAGCGATTCCCCGCATGTTTATCGCACCTAAAACGCGAATCTGCTGCGTCCGCAATCGGCGGTACCCCTTCCCGTGACATATGTTTGTTAAGGGTTCTCGTGTGTTTACACCGTAAGGTGCAAATCTGCCGTGTCCGTAATTTCTCGTATCGGTTCCCAATTCAGAAATCTATCCTTCATTTCTGTGGTGTTTGACTGATGTCCCTTTCTGGTCTGACAACCCTGTCAGACTGGCAACATTGGGCCGGCACCCGTATGAAGAGAACATTCTGGAATGTCGTCGTGGGGCTAGGTTGTAATGTAGCCGAGCAGGTTACTCATCCTTAATTTTCTGTCATTAATAAAGTGTTGCACCTACCAATGTGCTTAACTTAGCCAGGACCACAACAGTTTCTTTATAAACTTTTACTGTTGCATCCCCAAAGATTGTCCACCCCATATATTTCCACATTTATCCTTTCATTTTGGGTCGGCGTTCTTACGAGATTTTACGGTAGTGAGCTCGAAAGAAGCGCTGCGGTGAGCAGTGCCCTAACAAGCGCACAAAGATGGTCCTGATTTGACGGTTATTTGAGGCTGTAACAGGCTTAAGCTGAGATAGTCGAGGCATCTACCCGATCGTCAGAATTCTCTATTACTAAAATGCGGGTAACCCTTCTGAAGCCACAATTTTTCTCTGACACCATGTGACCTGCACGGGTTATCAAAGCCAGCAGCAGCACTTTCTAAAGCGGTTTCATGGTTCCCATTAAGTACGAGTAGCTCAAAAATGCCACAACTACAGAGCAACTGCCATATCGGCACTAAAGTATCCATTTAGGCACCTGAACGGAATCAAACGTTATGTGATAAACATATATAAGCACAATAAACAAAGGTTTATATTGTGAAAAGTGGCAGTGCAACTAAAAACGCAAAAACCAATAAAGGAAGAAAGCTTGTACCACTAATGTTTCTGCAAATAGCGCAAGAATTGTTAGGAGAAAAGGACCTTTCCTTCCTCTAGTACCATTTCTCCACCTCCACCTGAGTGTCATAAGGTTCAACAGTTCATTACAGGCCACCTTCCACAAAGCCAACAAATGTCCACAAATTGTGCTTATATGGGCACATCACAGCAGATCTGACATGTTTAAAGTACCTAAAACGTTGCTTCAGTGCTCTAACTTCCAGACTATAAGTATGGCTACCCAGACAGCAGTGATGAGAACCTTCCTAGTACACTTTACAAGCATAGCCAGGAAGGAGGGTGCTGGGCTTGTTTAGGATCAGAAAACACCGGTTTCTTGTACCTACACCAACATGCGTTGGGCGGTGCCTTCGCCCTCGGATGGTTACGAGGTCACTGGAGTGGACAGCCAGCGGCGCACCTGGATGGACACACCGCGCGCAGATAGACACCCTTGAGTAGAAGTACAAAGCTGGACTTGCTAAGAACACTCACTGGTATGCTACAAGGTACCCTCAGGAACATAAACAGCAAACACTTTAAGGTAAATTTTAATAGACAAGAAAGTGCTCAAAGCCTCAGAAAATAGGCTCAAGTTAAGGACACCTCTGCCACAAGCTCATAGATTTTACTTCAATAGCGAAGAAGGAAGCAGGGGAATGCACTCAAAGCAATTCAGCGTACAGTATCTGGCTGTCCAGCATACATATTTCTCTTCTAAAATTTTGCTAGTGTTCTCTAAACCCATTTTTAAAATTCCCTGACTAAGGCCAATTTACGCAAGAATAAATTGACTTCCACCTGAAAGGGAGTGCAACGGGGCAGCCTCTAGGCGACTTGTGGCAACTGAAAAAACCCGCCTGGTCCGCGATTTTATCCCGGGACCTCTGCACGACTAGCGGAGCACTCTATACTAACTGAGCTAACCAGGAGCTGCCAGTCAGCAGAGCAAACAAATGTTAACAGTTTCCACCAGTCTTGATCTTGAATATTATATTGCACAAATCTTCCCCACCTTGGCAGTGGCATACTCAGGAATTGTTTTCGAGGGGAGGGGTTTAAAATGCAGGTGTATATAATAGGGTTGACTGGGTTTCGGGGGTGCTGAATCCCCATAAGCCTTCCCCCTGGCTATGCCACTGCACCTTGTTGGCTTCCCTTAAAATAATTACATCTAAGCACTGATTTAGAAAAAAAAAAAGAGAAAATCTCAAAACATCAACAGGAATAACAATAAACAAGATTTGCATTTAGTATAACATATTCCTCTTCTAAATTTCCTGACTTTGCTAGATATCTCCTAATCAATCTAACAAAATTCTATGACTAGTACCAATTTAGAGAACAAAAAAATAACCTCAAAGCTTCAGAACAAGTAACAATCAACAAGATGTTTATACGGTGCGCAAGTTTGCCTGCTTTTTGCACAGGGGTTGCGATGATGTCAGAATGCGGAGCTCTTATTGGCTGATTGAACAAAATACTGGATAGACCTCGAGGCATCTAGCATTGAGGTCTACCCACTATCCCTTCAATCAAAGCCAATCAGAGCTCGGCATCGCCCTGACGTCACCACAACTGCCAAGCAAGAAGCGGACTACTTGCTCTCCGCAGAGTATCCATTGACACAAACTTGTACCTCTTTCATCATATGCTGACATAAATATCTATGGTAAGCCCTAAGCCAAGTGTTCACCACTAGCTCCTTGAAGGAAGGAGCCTTCTACAAGGAGCAGGTTCAAATACTATACTCATTCAGCAGAATGGGAGAGTTTAGCCTGTAGTGATGCCAAAATGCATGCCTTATCTATGCTGAAATAGTACTAAAATTGGCAAACTATGCCCGTTTTCACTTCAAGAACCGTAGTAAAACTGGTCTGGCTCCTCATGGAGCATGACTAATTTTCCCTCTTGCTTCGATAATTACGATATATGCAGGTGTATTTTGAATTATACGTATCTTATCAAGACATACACGTTCCAAATGCCGAAAGCATAGCTTTTTCTTTCGATAGCCAAATCTCGTAAGAACTACTTCGAACAAGGTGCAAAACTTGCTTTTTTCTTGAGGTGAAAACAGGTATAGATGAGAATAGAAAAAATCTGTGCCTCCCATTGTGTCATGCTGTGCCACCTGAAGGGCACCTGGTGACGCAAGGGTCCTCCATCTGGTGCAGAGATCTCAAAGCCCCCCCCCCCCCCCCCACCCCGATCAAGCATCAAGTATCGAAAGCCATGCACTTTGCCATTAGTGCTTCCTTAGGGCCCAATTGTAAATTTCATGTTGTTAGTTATGAGCTTTATAATGTCTGTTTGATACAGTATGTATGTTTGCCTCTGCTGCTTGGACCATGTGAGGCACAATAAGCTTAAATAAATAAAGAAAGCTATTTTCCAGGTCACAGTTGAGTAATAACCTGTAGAATGGATAATATATCTTTGCACTGCACATTTGTGCTTTTACTTTCTAAAGCCAACTGCACCCTGCAACGAATGCAGCTTTTATATAGTATCGTTCCTGTCAGCCTGTAAGCCGGCCGTGTGGCAAGATCACTCTTAGCTTACCAGTGTTAAAGAGCCCTGAAGGAATCACCAAATTTATTCATTCCCCTTTTCACTGGAATCCTGCTATCACCGTAATAAGTGGGCCAAAACTTGAGACTGCATTCAAATGTGCCCCTAACTGTCCAACTCTGGTGGAAACTAGGAGCGCGACACCTCACTGCCCCCCGGTTCTGGTAGTCCATAAATGTCCCGCTATATCAGTCCCGTGCCACAAGAGAAAGATTGTAGATGTTCGTGTTTACACAAAGTGAGGTCCGTCTGCTTTTCGAGGTATGGCGACACTGGTTTACGCTGTAGATGAGATATTTAGCCAGTGCAGCGTGTAGTAGCGATGCACGACTGCATGCCGGTACGATGCTCATCCAGATTGAAACAGGCAGGGGAGGGGATTGAACCCAGGGTCGCTGGGTTCTGCGGCGCAAGCTTTCGCTCTATGTGCTCAGAGCTGCAGTGTGCTAAGGCACTTGGCGGCCGATTTCCTTAGTGCAGTATGACTGTTAGCCTGGGGTCTTTAATCTGTGTCAAGCAGTAGCGACACATGACCACATACCGGCACGAAGCTTACCGGTAACCAGGTCCCAATGGGCAGGGGTGGGGATTGAACTCGGAATTCTTGGGTTCTGTAGCATGAGCTTTTGCCTCACATGCTCCGAGCTGTACAGTACTCTACTTTGCTCACCCCTAAGTTAAAGGGGCCCTCCGGAGCTTTCTGCGATCGTCTGATTATGTTGTTATATTGCGTAGTATAGGTGCAAGTTAATATGTATACAAAGTTTTAGATTACAAAACCGTTTATTAAGCAGATGGCAGAAGAAATATATCGGGACTATTTTCTCTTGGAATACAATCCCCCATTCCCTGCCCATCGCTAAAACTTGACCAATGGAAATGCTGCATCTCGCGGTGAGTGCGAATGTTATTATTGCAACACTTTTTAAGCTTATTGTAAATTAGAGTTTGAGAAAAACGTAAACTGATTGTGGTGTGGGAAACATAGTCCGCAATTATCGCTCCAAAACCAGCGAACTATGTTTTCTTCCCGCAAGCTTGTTGCTAGGGGATGATGCGTCGGCGCGTCGGCTCGTCTGCCTCCCGGGGCGTCTGCAGGCGTGCGTTTGCGGGACACATGTTCCTTCTTCCCGTGGATCCCGACTCCGAAGCCAGCTTTGCGATCCTTCCACGTCAACGAGTATAACTTTTCCTTGTCATCTGTGGAATGCGACTGCGTATTGCAGTAGCAGCGCGACGGTGCGGTGCGATGAACGACGACTGCCGAGCGCAAAGTCCGGAGAGATTCCTCCGCGGGTCGGCGGTCGGCCGCGTTGGTGGCGCGCAGTGACGCCGGAATCCTTCGCTTGCTATTGGCTGACGCGTAAAGAGATGCCCCTCCTGTTTTCCGGGGTCATCTCAGAAAGGGGGGCGTGCCGGGGACTTTGATAGCAATTTAAATAGGGAAATCCGCCGTGCATGACCGTAATTTTATGATTTTTAGGATCCTTAGGGCCTGTAGATTGAGTTACCGCCATAAATAGACCATCGCAGAACGCTCCGGAGGGCCCCTTTAACTGTGCAGTAGAAGCTACGGTTCTCTGCTCGTTGGACCAGTCGTACGCCTATCTTTCATCACGTGATCTCCCTCCCACCGATGCTCACACACAAAGAGCAGAGTCAGGTAATGAAAGGGGAGCGGTTGCTTGTCCTGCGACCACATAGATCCCACCGCGCTGTCAACTTAAGGGTAATAACGCACTCGGCCATCGATGCCTCCTCCCCGCATCCCCAGGCGCCTGGCAGACTCACCTGTGCCCTGTGCGGGGGCAGCAGGTCGCAGGGCGTGAGGCCCTGGGCATCCCTGGCCTGGGGGCAGGCCCCATTGAGCACCAGCTGCCGCACCAGCTCTACTTGGAGGTGCTCTTCCACCTCCAGCCTGCAGGCTGCATGCAGCGCCGTCTGCCCGTGCCGGTCGCACACGCCCAGCAGGGGCCCCGCGCTCGGACCGTAGTCCAACAGTGTCTGCACGGGGAACGGACAAGGCCGAGCAGCTCTTTGTGTTGCCTACGCACAACCGAGTACACGCTTTGCACAAAGCAGTTTAGAGTGAGTCTCGATGAACGGAATTTATTCATTTATTTATGTATTTCACCTTTAAAGGCCCAGGAGGGCATTATGTAATGGGGAGGCAAAGAACATAGAACTGAATTACGGAACAAAGCATGAAAAATCTGATATCACCAAAGTGTCTAAGAAAGGAAAGAAAACAACAGGTTGCCTGCAAATTTCATAATATGTAGATTCAACTATTGAGAATATTGATAAGAGAAAAGAGCATTGTAAAAAAATGCACAACTGTTGGAAACAATTACGTTCACAAAGAACATTATATATACAGCCTATGTGCATGCGCAATTTGAAAAAAGAAAAAAAAAAAAGCTCAAAATCCCAATAACAAAAATAATCACTTCGAAAAGCAACATTCTTTTGAACAGAACTGAAGAGAAATAAAGACTGATTGTGTTCTAATAATTTTGTATTTTATATTCAACTTGTGAATGTCAATCCAAATGATGCACCTGAACCGACCATTCGGCCAAATAATAATACATACAGTAAAACCTCGTTATAACAAAGTTGAAGGAGCAATCATAATTATTTCGTTATAACCAGTAGTTTGTTATAGTCAATGTTCATTTCTTCCCACTATTAGCAAGCAAGGGGAATTATGATTGCTTTGTTATATCCATTAGTTTGTTATATCCCATTTTGTTATAACGAGGTTTTACTGTATAAGCAAAATTAAAATGTGTTTAACTAATTTTGAAATATGGTACATAGACCACACAGCCCTCTTGATTGCCCTTTCCCTTAGGCAAAGGTGCCCCCTCCCCCAAAAAAACACCGGCAGCATGAATTTTCTGCTTGGAAGCAAGGTGCATGAAGTATGCTCTAGAGGATAGGTTTTCAATCTGTATTTTCTAGGAACCCAGGGGTCTTGGGTTCCTCGAACTTTCAAATTTCATCGATAGTCCCTCCACCTAAGTAATGTGTTCTTCCAATTTAAGTGCTATCCGAGCAGATTTCAACCATTCACTGACACATAACCATGAGCCAGGCACTCTCTAGTAGGCAGAATGTAGTCTACAAGGTCTGTAGACCTCTGCACTACTTTATTGCACCAATGCTGAGATTAGGAGGGGTCATTCAGGGCAGATACAGATTCTTCAAGGTTGAAAAGTTTGATAACCCCTGCTTTAGTGTCTAGAGCGAACCCTCTAAAGTATGGCATCTCTGCTACCTGGTTTACTGCTGAAGTTGGGCAGCCCAGATGCACCCACAGCACTGAAGTTAAAGGGGCTTAACTTATGTCTATAATGTAAAACTAAAGCTCCTAAAGCTTCACACACACTTTTTCCGTTACCCATGCCAACCGCTTCTAGAAACCGTAAATTACTTTATTTTTCTAGGCTCAATATTTCATGAATTTTGATAAGTGTGGGTGCTCGTCATCACAGGGTGATGCATTTGTGCAATAAAGTTATGAAATATTTTTCACATACCAAAATTTGTGAAATCTAATTCTTCAAAAAAATTACTGTAGAATACTGAGCAGCTACCCATTCCACATTAAGAGCTCACCCTTTAATAATGTAGCATTCGGAAGATACACAGAGGGCACAGATTGTTGACCTATAGAGGGCCCATCCCCAGTTTAACGTGACTATCTCAAAACTTTGAGTGGGCGCTTGCTCAGGATGTTTGTTACGTTATGTCAATTACAGTATGCTGAATGATGTCTGCCTTCAACCGCCTTCCCTTTTTCATAACAAATACAAACAAAAAACTGCACCTTGAAGGGCAAATCGGGTCCAAATTTTTTTCATTTGGGATTACGACTGCTTTCAGCTAAAGCAGTTTCCCTAAATTACAACATATCATTTTTTTTTTCTTCAGGTATTGTGTGTAATTTTACAAATATTACGGCTCAAAGTTTGGCTTAGGGTCTACGACAAAACCAAAACTACATCTGCTAGAGGGATGGCAACACTGATCATCAGCCATATGGCCGCGGCATGACATCAACGTGGTGCTGCATTAGGCGGTACAACCAATCAACCACAACTCCACCGCGACGTGACACACAAGGATACTGCGCCAGTGTTCCATGACTAAAAGCTAACCTGCTTGCCGCTCACTAAAGAGAAGCTGGTTGCATCTTTAAAATCGGTTTTAGTGGAGTAGAATGAAGCTTAACCTTGACGTAATATTTCAGCTGTGATCATATTTCCTGCCACTAAAGCAATACCAGTCATTTATTTTGGTTTCGTTTTTGACTGGAGTTTCCCTTTAAGATCTTCTACACAATGTAGAAAAAAAAAGTGTGCCATTCCTGATTGTTTATGTTAGAGTGGTGATGTGGACGAGTTGGTTCATCTTTATGCAATAAATCAGCGTGCAAAACAACAAAGACTGGAGAGAACTATGCAGCGCTCGTCTCGAGTACTTCTTCTTTGTGTGCATTTTGTATGTTCACAGTTACTAATCAAGTAGGACTTATTATATGTTAAATTGAATCAGTAATATGGTTTTGTACACGGTGTTTTATTTTAGACTTTCAATTTATTTTAGAAAAAGCCTTGAAGGCTACCCTTATGTGGTTTATGCAGGCAAGTTCATATACATCTTCACTAATTAAAAATTATTTAACAAATATCAGTTAATTATCTGATTTATTGTTACAATTAGCCCACCAGCTGCATAACTCGCCTGCACAAACTGCATTAGTGCAGCTTTCAAAACAAAACAAATCGTTAAAAAAAACATCCTGTGTTATGTTCTTCCAAATAAAAAGGAGACAGAAAAAATCCTTAATATGATTACTTGTAAGAGAAATGAAGAGCCTATATTAGTATTTATGATAAGTAAGAATGTGATGTAAAATAGGAGGAAATAAAATTATTCTTTCATTCATTTGTTCATGTTTCTTACACACCCATGACCAGTCAATGCCTTAATAATGATGCAGAATGGGTAGATTAGAGATTAGTCAAGAACAATCTAAACCCCACAAAGGCTAAGTTAAAAACATCAATACCTGCTGCAGAGGACGATGACATATACAACTGTCGAAACAAAGAAAAATGAAGGAACTTGAAGCACCTACTGTGAATAGGGAATCACTTTGCCACATGAGCATTTTAATTCAACAATTTTCTAAAATATGCCATCATTCGAATCAACATTTCAAAGCTTAAAATTGTGCAGACGTGCCCCCTTTGTCTCATACAACCTCCGAGCGCACGCTCACCTCCACCATATCAATCCTCTTCTTGGTAACTGCATAGTGCAGAGCAGTTTCTCCAGCAACATCCTGCATAAAAGATAAAAATAATGTAAATGCTACCGAAACGAGAGCAGCTGCATTGTCAAAGAGTGAGTTACAAGAGTGACGCATCACCAGAGGCGGCAGTCTTGCGCCCAGGCTCTAATTGTGAAGACATTTTTTAATTGTGCGATTGCAGCCTACTGTTTAATTTATTGGATTTATTAGGCAGCTTTAGCATAGCATTGCCATACGGAGCAGCAGTGCTACCAGAAGCTCGCGCTGCATCTTCAAAACGCGCTCTTCAGAGTGCGTAAGGGGCGTTGCCATGCCCACAGTAGTCTAGGGTAACACAGAGCCGTATATTGGGAGAGTTTGGCCAGGAGAAAAGCGAAGGAAAGAGAGGAGAGCGCCGAAGGAGTAAGCAATAAAAAAGGGACCAAAGAGGAGATGGCAGCCATTTCAAAGCAACGCTGTCGGCGCGGAGCACTCTGGAGGCTGTGCGTCATCTGCTACGGGCTTATTTCTTTTTCGCTTGAATCAAAGTTTTTGTTCAAACGTAGAGAAACTTAATTTGTTAGCTTTTTAAGCCACCGAGGAATAACATTTTATCAATTTCTTGCCAGAGCCTGCCAGATAAAAGAAAAGAACCGAAATTTGGATGTCGATTTGATGCATTTTTCTGAGTGAATGAATGAAAATGGCGGCCCTCTCCGCTCAGCTGGGAACAGCCAAGAGTTAATGTGCAGGCACTCGCGCCTCTCGCTCTGCGCCGCGGGTTGATTGGCTCACTCGGGAGAGGGACGTTACGGTGGCGAGATTATAGACTGGCCAAACTCTCCCCATATATGGCTCTGGGGTAACACTATGCTAAAACTGCCTATTACCATGACACATTAACGCTAGTTCACAAACTTGCTCTTGCTTACGACCGAGTTCTTGCGTTCAATCTCTTACGATGAGGGAACGCGTTGGCCCTTTAACTGCATATCACTAGAGCAAAGGTTTTTCTGTATTTGCAATATCAAATGTAGATATGCCTATGAGGAATGGTTGTTTATAACATTGTTAAAGTTTTTCAATCCTATAAAAAAAGAATAGTGTGCAAAAAAAAAAGAAAAGAGAATATACGAAAATCTAAAGTGTTCACTAGAGGTTTCCATTCAAAGCACTCAACCATAAGCAGTTGCCAGTTGTGAACCAGCCTTTAGTCTTCACGTGGCATCACAAATCATCACAAGTGTGACAGAAGCAAGATTCCCTCGCTTCTGCGATGAACCTTGCTTCTGCATGCCTTTGGCAGTTCAATCTGTCTCTAAGGAAAGCACCACGTAGGGCAACAAAAAATTTGAAGATCAGCGACGTTTGAGAGTCGCGGTAATGCCGAGGTCAGCGAGTCTGCACAAAGCTTTTTTGGATGCCTGCCCACCTTGATGAGAGGGCTGGCACCGTGGGAGATGAGCTCCCTGACCATCGGGATTGTGTCGATGATCTGGTTGCCACTGGGTCCCACCTTGAGGCAATTGTGCACGAGCACCGCCCAGTGGAGGGCAGTGCGGCCTGCGACGGCAGCGCGAACAACGCGGGTAAAGAGATGAATAAATGCTGCTTCAAAGTACAATTTGAAGGGGGGCCATCTCACAGGGATAAATATACTTTCTATACGGGCACTTGCTCGTAGCCAGGGCTCTGCGTTTTAAGAGTTTATTTTTCGTGAAAACCTGAGGGCGTTCTCTGGCGTTTATTTACATTTTCGAACATTCGGGGTTTATCGGAGGTTACTTTTGTTAGATTCCCACTTCTCATATATTCCAAGTTAGAGTTTAACTTTGCTGTGTTCCCAAAAGACCCTTTCCGAAATTCAGTCTCGCCACTTTGATAACTATCATCCCCAAAGTGTATATTATCTGTACATGCTAATGGCGGCCTTTTGATTGCTGATGAAGGAAGAATTCGAACACATATGAAGCCGTAAGATTCCAGACGTTAGTTTACTGTATTGTTGTTTGATGTCGACGTGACGAGACTGATAATCTTCTATGCAATACGCATTTGATGGTGTCATGTAAATCCTTAGAATACTCGGCTTCGGCACGATCCAGAGGCAGCTAATGGCAATAAAATGTGTTGAATTTTATCAGGAGTTTAAATGAACTAAGCGCCTCATACAGAATCGTAGCCCCTGGACATCATCGAAACTGAAACAAATAGAGAAGTAACTGCAGTGTACAGCGAAGAACACCTTAACATTCGTACGTCTGCCGTTGATGAATAGATAACTAGATTTTAACTGCCTTTAGCATACAAAAATTTGGACTGATATTTGAGCCGCTAGATGGCACTGCATTTCTGAAAGGTCTATTGTTTGAAATTGGACACCAACCTACCCTCAATTTATAACTCCCTTGTATCAAATTACATTTCTTAAACTGGATTAGGCACTGGCATTCTTGCCACTGGAAATACTAGTCGTCCCACGACGAAACTTGCAAGCAAGTGTGCTTTGATAAGTTGCTCGACTCTTAAGCATAGTCGTTGGGAAACTCTTTCTTCCCCTTCCATTCTAGCTATTCTACTATTCTACCCCACAGCTGCGGGAGTGGTATAGGGATTAATATAGAAACTTCAGCTGCCGCCCACCCCCTCTTCCCAATCTATAAGTGAGTTCCCAAGATTTCCTACTTGCCATTTTATACATCAGCAGCAGCATGTGCACAAATAAGCTTATGCGTATGGTTGCAGACACCAAAATGTCAGGTGGCAGCCTGTGCCATCAAGTTGGCAGTGACAACTGTAGGCAGTGTGGTGCAATCTGCCACTCAATGGTTATTTGTGCAATAAGACGAGTGTTCATTGTAGAGCTCTGCACAAGGTCGGGCCGACTTGAAAGCCCGGGCCGGGTAGCACAGGTTGTTTCGGAACCTGGGAAGGGCCCGAGCCAAATAGTATGGACTGTTTCCGGGCCCGGGCAGGGCTTGGGCCTAAAAACGCGTAAATACCGCAAATTTTAAAATCCATCGTGACTTTAGTTCATACTGCACTGCGTAGGATCTGTGACTTGTAAATGGTCTATAATGTCTCGGAACTTTTATTCATCTTTTGAGAGAGCGCTATTAAAGGGGAACTCCGCCGATTTTTTGAGCGACCCCAATTAACTATATTTTCGAAATCGCTGTCCTTTACTCTTTCCGGTATGGTATTTAGTATCGCGAAATTCAGAATAGTTATTGTGAAATCGGCCAATGAAAACGACATCAAAACCAAGATTTGAACACACCCGCGCTTTTCAATGCCGTGACGTTACGGGTGGACCGGCTTGCGGTTCGAGCGGGCAGCCTAAAAGTGAACTATGCCAAGCATTTGTTTCATGCTGCTGCACGAGAGCTGGAGCGACCTTCCACAGCATTTATTTGACACCATAAAACTGTTTGTAATCAGTTGGGAACAAAATCTACAGCCCAAAAAGTGAACCCCTGCCTACCCATGACATCAATTTTTCCATGTTGCCAGTAGAGCTTTTCACTTTGAAAAACACGATGAGGACCAAAATTGTAAATTCTGTAACTTCGTGAAAAAAAGTTATTTTGTCTAAATATTTGAGTTACTATTTCAGCGACGTTTGTTGGTGTTTTTAGCAAGTTTTTCGGCAAATCGGGGACTATGAAGAAAACGGCGGAGTACCCCTTTAAGATCTCCATGTTGACATTCGCATTTTAGAGTGCAGCAGGTAGGCGCCCGTTCCTGGCTTGAGCAGCGTCTCCAACGGCGTAACCGTGCGTTGCATTATGGGACATTTCGCATAATGAAGTCGCACGTGACATCCCGAGGGTCACGAGTGACGTCACGAAGGACACTTATGAAGGTCACAACCTTCACGAGTGACATCACAAGGGTCACGAGTGACATCACGAGGGAAGAGGGAGGGAGGGGGAGGAGGAGCAGGGTGGGAGAATGAGAGAAGGGGGAGAGGGAGCAGGATGAAAAGGGGAGGAGGGAGAGAGGAGAGGGTATGGAGGAGGAGGAGGTGCATACCCTCCTCTCTGTACCATCCCCTCCTCCTCCTTAAGAACTGCGCTCTAATTCGGCATTACAGGGAGTTGAAAACGTCTTTCATTTTTTTTTTTTTTTTTTTTGCCGACACATAACATCTTGACAGGGTTTTTCATGCCAATTAGGCTAAACAAATTAAATGCACCAAAACCTCCCAATGGCAGCTTTGAATTTAAGAGATGAGGCATGCCTTGGCCTCTTACTATGCCGGGCCCGGGCCGGGCCTGATCAGGTAGGCATTCCATTGGGCCGGGTACAGGCCGGGCCTGATTAGGTAGGCATCTTGTCGGGCTGGGTTCGGGTCGGGCAAGACAAAGAGCCAGCGGGACCGGACCGGGCCGGGCCGGGCTCCAAAAGGTAGGCCCGTGCAGTGCTCTTGTTCATTGCATGCTTAGTGCAAAGCCACAGAGGGGGTCACAATAGGTACCAGAAACATTGAAAAGTATTTTCTGTAATCGGAAGAAAAAGTAAAAAAACGGCACCGTGAAATGCGAGCTCACAATGCTTGCGGTGTGCGTGATTGGTTCATGCGTCACAAAAGTTTGTAGCGGGTGGTTGTGGATGGATTGCTAGTATTGATATAAATTTTGATGTCACACCCAAAAGGTCACCCATCCCATATTTTTCACCATTCATCTCTTCACCATGGCTAGGTGTTTGTTTATGACTAGATAATAAAAGCTACAAAGATCAATTCCAGCTGCCTCGTCAACAAAGTAAAGGAAGGTGGCCACATGTCTATGTACTAAGTCTTTTTACAAGATTAACATGTAAGAGATTTGCAATATACGAAGTTTGCTTTCTTTCATAGGGGTTTCAGAGGTTGTTTCAAGTTCATTTTCAAAAATGCATGCTGTACAAAGCAGCGTGTGTTAAGCTACACCAGGAAATTCCAATGGCCTTGGGCATACACACCTTTGTAGTCTTGTGCATCCAGGCCTAGCTCTGCAACTTGCAGTAGCTTGGCGACACAGGGAAGGTCACCGTGCTTTGCGGCCAAGTGGAGCGGTCGCCGTTGCTTGAGGCATTCAATGTCAGTCCTGGCTCCGGCCTCACATAGGAAGCCTACTAGGATGGGGTCCCCCTTCACACAAGCGAGGTGCAACGGCGTCTGAAACATTGTTTCCTTGTCAGTTTATAGACGCTTTCAGCGAGTCAGTTACTCGAGCTGCCACCAGTCGGCGCGCCCTTCGCGCGCTTCCCGGGCCGCCATAGCCGACCTTCAGTTTCTCACCGTTGCTCCGCGTTGTGTGCTGCACAGGCCACTACCGGAGCTTCGTTTTCGTGTTCTTTTACGTTCCGCGTTGAAATCTTGTATTTTCTTTAGGTCTTTTCGACATTTAGGACTTTCATTAATTCATTTGATATTTATATTTCGACATAGCCTCTTGTATTTTCTTATTTATAAAAAGGAATCGGACAGCGAATAGGTTGACGATACAAGATTATGAGGCTTCAATGGCCATGTAAGTTCATCCCATTCTTACGTTTTTGTCGCTAATAAAGGGCGGTCAACACTATTGCTACATTAGTAAATTGCATCTGACGCAGTAAGGCTATCACAGTCGTGCTTCTCGCTGCATGTGCGCGCTCGATTCCGTAAAGCCGACCCGCATGTAAGTGATTTAGCGTGCAACGAGACGAGCGACTGAGATTTCTCACCGTCGCCCGTCGCATCGCTCGGTTTTGGGATTTCCGAGAAAACGTCGCTCCCCGTCTTGGTCGCTTGCTCCGTCGCTTCCATGCGGTTTGCCTCGTGGCGCGACTGACTGAGCGACAGCGAAGCGGGTCGCCGTCGCTTATCTGGTCGCTCGCCAAATCGCTTACAAGCGGTTTATACTCAATTAATTTCCATGCACGCAGCATTGAACCATTGGCGCCTCGATATTAAGTATAAACCGCATGCAAACGATTCGGCGAGCAACGAGACAAGCGACGGTGACCCGCTTCGCTGTCGCTCGGGCAGTTGCGCGACGAGGCAAACCGCATGGAAGCGACGGGAGAAAGCGACCAAGACGATGAGCGACGTTTTCTAGAAACCCAAAAAACCGAGCGATGCAACAGGCGACAGTGAGAAATCTTTGTCGCTGACTATCGTCGTTGTCGCCGTCGCTCGTCTCGTCGCACGCAAAATCACTTACATGCGGTTCGGCTTTACAGAAACGAGCGCCCACATGCAGCGAGAAGCACGAGTGGATTGCCTTACTGCGTTAATTGAAATTTGCATATGTCGGAATGGTGTTGACTGCCCTTTATTAGCGAGAAAAAACGTTAGAATGGGATGAACTTACATGGCCTCTGAAGCCATAATCTCATATCGTCGATCCATTCGCTGTCCGATTCCATTTCATGAATAAGAAAATACAAGAGCTATGTCGAAATATAGATATCAAATGATTAAATGAAAGCCCGAAATATCGAAACAACCTCAAGAAAACAGACGATTTCAACGCGAACCGTAAAAGAACGCGAAAACAAAGCTCCGGTAGCGGCCGGTGCAGCACACAACGCGGAGGAACGGCGAGAAACTGAAGGGCGGCTATGGCGGCAGGGTCACGTGACGTCAAGATGGCGGCGCCCACGAAATGTTGACTGAAAGGGTCTATATTTACACAAAGCATCGTATCGAAAAACCAGGTCGGGGCAAGGGAAAGAAGGGGATTTCCCAGCATCTCAGCTTCAAGGGTCTGAAGCCAGCTATAAAGATATCCTCGTGAAGGACATTCTACAATTGACGACAAGTCTGCTACGATGTGGCTGTCCTGGTGTGCCTCCAAAGAGCCACTTTCTATGTTGTAATTGACACTGACCATCTATCGTTGAGTCGCTGGATATCCGTGACATTGGCCAGAATTGCTCATCTGTCAAGCTCGGTCAGAGTTGTCTGTGGTAGATGCACCTCATATTTTAATAATTAAGAGAAATTAGAAATAAACTTCAGTGTTCGTTCAACCCTTTGACTGCCAAATCATATGCAAATGTCAGTCCCAGTAACAGAATAGTAGCATGCTTTATAAAATACTCTATTTGCATATCTAACAAACATTTATTTATGGGCATAATGTTAGTTAATGTCTGCACGCCTCCACCCTTGGACGCCTTCTCGCCGTGCTGTTCTTTTCGAGACATGGTGCTATGCGAAAAGGTACCTCGACCTCGCAACCTGGGGGCACCCCTTTGTGGGCGGCCTTGCTCGGCATTTTTTTTTATTCAAAACTGCAACTTTCTCGTTTTTACATTTGTAGAATTCAGATCTCCGTCTTCATCATAAAGCACGAGGTTAACGGCAAAGGTTCACCATCCTGGCATATAGCTCGGTAGTTCACCACCGAAATAAAAGTCGCCTGAACAAAAATTTCCATTTGCCGAAAACAAACGACACTACAAAACAAAGAAATTAAACCATGTGACGAGCACACTTGGCCACGGCAGTGGGTGTACGTGGGAGTGCGCCCAAGCACACTTGAGCGTGGCACTCGTAGGGTTAATGGAGGCGTGTCACTGCCTAGCAGTCCTTTCCGCTTCCTTACCCTTTAATGCAAACATGTAGCTTTTGATGACTCACAAACTTTAAGTTGTATAATAGTAGCTCATTCACGGCCAAAGCATTGCCAGGCATAGCACAACGCAGGAGCCACAACAACAAGTTACAGTATTGTGAATTGTAAAATAGATATTTGCAGTGCACTTACAGTGCATTCAATTAATTTTGTACTCAATGTACACATCACCACATCACAAGGTATTATTCCGAGGACCTCAAGACGGGAACTTTCCCATCAAACCGAGCTGTTCAAGGTGCCCCACGGATCCCACTCACATGGCCTCTGGAGTTCTGCACGTCTAGGTGTAGTCCCTCTTCGGGCTGCTTGCTCAAGGATTCCACCAGCCGGAGAAGGAGCGCCTTGTCGTCTTCGATTACAGCATGGTGCAGATACCTGCCAGAAGGGTTCTTGCCACATTGTACTCAAACTAACCTTACAAGCGACTAGTATGGTGGACATACTAAACCAACTGAAATCCCTACGTAGGCAGTGGAATCGGTGCTGAACTTGCATGAAAATCACTGCGTTGTTCGGTTACTTAAGCACAGCCGCTGAGGAATGTGAATTGAAATGAGGGTGAACTCACTGTGGCTACGATGACAATGCTTCTTTTCTACTCAATTTTTAGAACACAAATGAAAATGAACATAAATCTGCTACTCTGCCAATGAATTAATTTATATTTGTATAATTTCTAGCTTATTGGCAGTACCACCAGTGCACTGAAAACTGATTAACAGGCCCCCCCCCAGAATACGTCCAAAAAAGCATGCACCGTTTTATCACTTTACACCCTTTGAGTGCCACTTTTTTTTTTTCTTGAAGTAACCTAAAAGTGCCCTTTTTTTTTATTTAAAAGTTTTATTCATCTAGTATTACTGATAAAATTTCAAAAGTTTATTACTCAAAAATCAGCGGCGGCGAAAAAAAAAAAATGTGCCAACTACTACGAGTGCTGTTATCTATGATCAGCGCCGCAAACTACTCAGACGAGCCTAGCTCGTCCGTGGAATTGAGGGCTTTCGAGAAAACCACTGGATGAGCTGAGCTCGTCCATGGCATTTTTAGCCAGAAAGCGGCCGACGAGCTCGGCTCGTCCAAGGTACTTAAAGGGTTAAACTCTCGGCCATATTCCCCGACAGTCCTCAATCTTTTAGGGCGGAGAGAATTCCCCAGCATTTTCAAGTTTTCCTCGTTGCTGGATGATGCTGTCATCATTAGTATCTGTGCAATACTAATGGCAGCCTTCTGGTACATTCGGTGGTCAGTGATGGGAGAAGTCGAAGAAATAGACAACACAAGGCTCGCGCTTGCAGAAATTAGATACAAGCGCAGCATCAGTGCTCTACCCAGACTCGGGATAAATCAATCTGCCGCGGAAAACTAGGGCTAATGCATCTCAAACGGACTGCATCTCGTGAGGACCGGCTGTTGCTTGGTCACAATGAAACATGAAATGAACCGAGGAAAGAGTAAATGGTGAAGGAGAACGTTCCCACTTGTCGCTGATGTACAAGAGCAATTGTGACAGAGGAAACAACACAATAGTTCTATAGACTAGTAGTACTGAGCCCCTAAATGGTGCCGAATTTCGGCAAAAGTCCATTACACCATGTACCATAATTGTTTAGAAATAAAGTAAGGAGATAATGTAAAAAGTGGCTACACTCATCCTTCAAAAGCCATCACGGGAGCATTGTGGCAAACAACGGTCAAGCAGGGGATTGTCAGCAGAAAGCCAGCGTAATGTGCGAAGCGAACACGGGCACAGAGTTTGAGACAATGCACATACGTCGATCCTCTGACGGGGCTCCTGTTACGCAGCCGTCCCTCTTTGCGAAGCAGGCGCACGAGCACCGTGGCCTTGTTCAGGGACAGCACGTTCAGTTCGGCCCGCAGTGCGTCCTTCTCGACACGCGACTGCCTCTGGCAGGTGGCAGGCGCCGGCGCAGTGTCATCTCCACGAGGGCTGCAAGAAATGAATGCAATGAAGTCACTGGACATCCACTGACCACCCCAAGCCTCTACTACCGAACGTAGTTCATTGGGGCAAGCCTTAGGCCCAAATCAAGGTGAATCAATAAGATAAAGGGGGTATCAAACACGCAGCCCGCAACTCTCTGGGGCACGACCTGCAAGTGTTCCTGTTAAAACGTCATAAGAGCTTTGCTCTTATGACGTTTTCTAATCTGTTCTTTTTGAGATCGAGGATTGTTTCATCTTACATACAATTGAGATGCGAATATTTTCTTATAATTCGACTGCAGAAATCATTGGGAAAGCAAAAACTACTGTATGAAAAGATTTCCTTTCCGAGACGTATTGAACTCGGATAATTCCCAAGTAAAGTGAGCGACAGATTAACGATTGTGTGCCTGGTTTCTAGTTCTACTGAAAAATTCCGGTGCCTTGGCGAGAGGGTGGTATTTTAGACCTTGTAATCGCTCTTGGTACAAACCCAAGGTAGTTGTATGAACAAATCAAAGCTAAAGACGGCACTGGCAAAACAACTATTTTACAAAAAGCAGGTAGCCCGAGATCCCTTTTTTAGGAAATCTCTGGGCGAAACTGAAAGACTTGGCTGCCTTACAAAGAAAACACACTTAAATGAGTTTGAGAACCCTGACATAAAGCATCTTAGGTCACACCAGTAGGTGCTTACAAGCACCTTGGCATCAATTGACAATAAAACCTGGACATAGACCTATAAAGTAAGCCAAAGTTGGTTTGAAACTAAATGTTTTTAAGTATAGGTAGGGTTTGTGTTTTCGAATAAATCCGAAAAACACTTGCCGGTATAATTTTGGTCAATTCAGATTTATCCGATAAACTCCAAATTTTGATGTGCCAACACCCCCCACCCCGCCTCCCCCACAAAAAAAAAAAAAAAAAAAAAAAGAACACAAGACAATATTTTTTAACAAAGTTTTGATCAGCACACAGGGTGAATGGTCCTGCAAAAATGCCACCACAGTTATTCTTCAAACCTCCGACCACTGTCAAAAGGGTTCTTAACCACTTATCTCATCAAGGTTCATTCAGGATAACAGGTCATTGTACTTTTGGGTCACGACAAAAGCCACTGTATCAGTTTCCAGTTCGAGCCATACTATTTGTGCTTTAGAGGAAGGAGAGGTTGTGTTTTTGTAACCGTGAAAGGTATGGACCCTAGAGATTGCATTAAATGGGGAAGAGGGGCAATTGAAACTTCTCTATTACATACTTTACCACTCCACTTCGGGCAGCCGTGGGGTAGGTTGATGGAATAGGATAGGATGAATATGAGCTTCCTAGCAAACTACCTCCAGGAGTTTATTGATTTTAAGGTATCGATGTTTATCGAGGTAATACTTGTGTGCAACTTTTGTTGTGGGACAAATTAGTATTACCAATGGCAACGGCACCAACGCCAAATCCAACTGAAGAAATATTAATTGATGCAAGTAGAGATGCCACAATCTTTTTGCAAATCTGAGGTTTAAAGATCAAACCAAGGGCTTCAAAAGGTTCACAAAGTTTAAAAACGTAGAAACTATTGCATAAAAAATTCAACGATTTTCCAACTTTCACATTTTTTGCGCTGAGAAATTCGATTGTTTTCAAACCCCCAATTTTTCACGCTATGAAATTCAGCACTTTCGAACTTATTACGCTAAGAAATTCCACAATTTTTTAACCTGCTGAGTTTAAAAGTTTGACGAACTTCAAACTTTTGAGCAAAAGTTCGACAAAGATCGAACCAAGTTCACTCCCATGGGTTCCAGGCAACAAATATAAATAACACGAGACGTCCATGTGAGAAGTGGAGTTGAAATGGCACTCAGAGTCTTACCGTTAGCTGGTCGTACCCCAAACAATGCGCTTGCAAGCTCTGAATTATCGCTTTGGGGTGGCCTCGGCTTCATACCTCACACCTTTTTCTTTCGACTTTTACACAGAGCCTCTCCCGCACACACCTCCATAGGTTGTCCCAAGGTAACCTGAAGGGCAACAGAATCCTGATCTGCAGGTTTGAAATTCAACCAAGGCGCTTCGCTGGGAGCGTCCTTCATAGCATGAGTAGTTTTTGAAAGCAAGTCCCTCGATTTCATTGCGTCGAAGAAAGATGCGCGCGCGGAGAGTGACACCGATGCGCTACAGTGAATGCTGAATCGGCACTTACTTCATTACCATTAGGAACTGGCTGCATTTTAGAGCGGCTAATATCTCCATTCATTGAAGAAAAAAAAAATGAAAGCCGTTTACAACTCCCTGTAATGCCGAATTGGAGCGCAGCTCTGGAGGAGGACGAGGGAAGGGTACTGAGGGGAGGGTAGACCCCTCCTCCTCCTCCTCCCCCCCTCAGAACAGAGTGCCAAGTACTTGGTTTTGATATTCAGAAAATCTCTGGAGATGTCCACGGCGCCCTCCAAATGAAAAGTCGCAAAGGTGATCCCAATTTTAAAGTCTGGTGATTCAAGATCAGTTTCCAATTATAGGCCTATTTCTCTGCTTAGTATGTGCAGTAAGGTGTTGGAGCATGTCGTGTTTAAACACATATCGACATATCTTGAACGAAATATTTTTTTACTAATTTTCAACATGGTTTTTGCCAAAAAGTATCTACCATCACCCAACTGACAGAAACTGTGCATGAATTTGCCTCTGTGATTAATGTAAGGGGGCAAACTGATGTGATTTACTTAGATTTTTTTAAAGCGTTTGATCACGTATCGCACGAAAAGTTACTGATAAAGCTGTCACGAGTTTTAAATAATCCTGCTATTCTGAAGTGGCTTGGAAGTTACTTATCTCTGAGACAGCAGTTTGTTCACGTTGACGCCGCATGCTCCGGTACCACGCGTAACCTCTTGCGTCCTACAGGGATCGGCCTTCGGGCTTTTGTTGTTTTTAATATATGTGAATGATATTGTTCGTGGAATTCCAGTAAAGATCTGACTGTTTGCAGTTGATTGTGTTATTTTATTTTTAGAAAAATCAAAAGTTCTGCAGACTGTGAAGTACTAAACTCCTCATTAGAAAAACTGTCTAAATGGTGTGATGACTGGCAAATGTCACTAAATTTATCAAAAACTGTATGTATGTCAATTACTCAAAAAAAAAAGCCTATCACTTTTAATTATTTGATTGGGAACCGTGGCCTTCAGAGAGTACATTCATATAAATATCCGGGGTTGACAATAACGTCTGATCTTAAATGGAACGTTCTAATCAATGAAACCGCTAGTAAAGCAGTGTGTAAGCTGGGTTTCTTGCATATATGAGGCAGGCCTCCAGTGATACAAAACTACTACTCTATAAAACTCTAGTTCGGCCAGTGCTAAAATATGGAAGCGTCATTTGGGATCCATATACCTTATCTTGTATTTCAGAACTTGAGCAAATTTAAAGACTAGCAGTGTGCTCTGTGTACTCCTCATATGTATATATGTATCTCCAACCAAACTCTGTAATGACGCAGGCGTGGAAACCCTACAGGAAAGAAGGAGAATAAACCGCCTTAAATTTCTTTAGCATATCGCCAGTGGCGAGGTTGGAATAAAGAAGGATAAATATATAACTTTTTTTGACCCAGGTCTACCAGAGACACACATAGCAAAACAATAAAGCCATATAAATATAAAAATGATAATTTAAGTTCTCCTTCTTTCCTCATACAATCATCGATTGGAACAACCTACCACCTGACGTTGTAAGCGCTACCACATATTCAGACTTTGGTTTTTCGTTGTCGCAGCAGGTGCACCCTGCATGAAAGTGTTTCGATGTACTACTCCTGTAACAATCTCGCACAAGATTGACAGTATCAATAAAAAACAAAAACAAATTACTGTTCTTAAACTACGGCATAAACCCTACCGACCATTCTTAATCAACTCAGTTCACAACGTATAGAACTTCACACACTGTCAGTAAGCAGCTTCTGGGGATTGACTCTCTTTAACTGAATCATGTAAATGTTAGTGGTTACAATTCGCCTTTTCCTGTATAGTCTGTGATGTATAGTGCCTTTCTTTGTTTATTGCAGATTTTATTTTAGGATTGTGTGAGCGCTTTGTGTATAAAGCATATTCCTATATTAAATAATTCAATTTTTAGTTATATGTTGGTACCTATGTTTTATTCATGATGCTTTCTTCTGGTGTGTCTTGGGCCAAGCTGTTTTTAATCAGGGTGTCTAGCAAATTATTATTTTAAAATTCCCTGACTTTTCTATGTTTTCCCTGACAATTTCAGGTGAAATTCCCTGACCACTGTAGAGGCGGTTAGATATATAAGACCATTACAACACAAGGCATTGAGCACTGTTTGGATCATTTTGCACGGGTTTAATCCATCTTGCATACTCCAAAATATTCGGGTTCATTGAGTCTGGATTAAACGAGCACTCTCTTGCCGCCGATATCGTCAGTGAAGAGGTCACTTCCGGAAGCACGATGAAAACATGACACTTAACCACACATGTCAAGAATGGCAGCATTGCCGCCTGATGCACACTTTTGTATACTGTAGGCTTAAGGCTTGGATTGGGGTCTGCGGCTTTCCCATTTGTTACTAAATCTAGTAGCTCTAACTGGATCTAGCCTAGTTTCGTGCCCTCAGTTCAATCCAATCCAAGGCTTGGACTGGATTTGTCGGCTGTTCCCTTTCCTTTGGGTAGCACACACTGCCTCGGGTGAGCAGAGCCCGCGCTCCGCTCTAAGCAGAATTTATTGCCTATTTTTCTGCCCCCAAGTTCTTAAGTCTTTGCTCAGGGCAGTCAATGGCATTTCCAGCTCATTTTCCCTGACTGGGCTCACTTTTTGACAATATCCCTGACAATTACCTGATTTTTCCCGGTAATTAAAATGTCCCTGACAATTCCCGGTTGCTAGACAGGGTGTCTAGCAACCGGGAATTGTCAGGAAAATTTTAATTAGCGGTCTTTTTCCCAATGTCTCCACCAACAATGTATTATTTTTGTTGGAA